CCAGGGAACCACTGGGGCTGCGTGCAACAGTGTGCTCTCAGTGCCAATCCCAAGCCTGAATAAAATTGGGGAGGGTTGTGTCAGGAAGTGTAAAAAGTGTGCCTAATAACTGTGCCAAATCAAATATACCTGGACCAGTGATCTGCTCTGGCAACCCCTAACGGAAGCAGTCGAAAGAGTAACAACAACAGCATATAATTGGGTGTCTGTGAGGAAAAGCTTGACCAGGAAGCATTCTAAAAACAATGCACTTACTCTGTTACTGGCAAGAACACACTTACAACACAGAACTGCCTCAATGAGAATTGATGGCTTGACAAAACATAGCCAATCTACCAACATGCATGTTTTTGGGAGCTGGGAAGAAACTGGAGAAACCGAAGAAATCCATATAGGAGAACATGCAAAACTACACACACACACACACACACACACACACAGAGAAACCCGAGCTCAGGGTCCAACCTGGAGCTGAGAGGCAACAACATTACAAAGGAGCAGAGTTGTTTTGAGATGCAGTTTAAAGTTTTACACATTTGATGGATCACTGGTCTATAATTATCACCATCCCCATAGGGGGCAGTGGTAGCTCAGTGGACAAGATGTTGGACTTCTAATCAGAAGGTTATAAGTTCAAATCCCAGCACTGCCACAGCTGGAGTCCTAAGCAAGGCCCTTAAGCCTCGTGTGTGTGTATTAATTCCCATGTACAAAAAACAAAACAAATGTAAGTCGCTCTAAGGGTGTCTGTCAAATGCCATTAATATAATAAGTGGATATAGTATGTAGGCTATTCAAAGTATAGTTACAGCGCACACACAGTGTGTATGATATTGTATATGCATGTTGCCCTTATTTACAGTGCAAAAGTGCAGATATGCCTTCAAGGCAGTATGCAGTACCCAGCAGTGTAAACAGCCTGAACCGCAAACTAGTCCACAGCTGCATTACCTTCTGTGAAACGATGTGTGACTGGCGAAGTTTCTCCTCGTCACTCAGAGCAGCCAGTCGCTTCTTTATCTCTTTCCTGAGCGCCTGTTTGGCTGCTCGCAGGGCTGCCATAGTGCTGAACTGCCTCATGCAAACACAAACCCTGAGAAAAGGTCTGCGTACACCGTGACTGCTTCACCAACAGAGCAGGAGTGTCAAAGTTTAAAATGTGAAGTCGTTAATCATTAACTGATGTGCACTTTTCTCGTGCCAACACATCAGCGAGTACACACATGCAGTCTCATACGTCAAACTGCACGCGCTGAGACTAATGCTGCCTTCACGCGCTGTCGGAATTCTCCCACTTCCTACTTCTGCGGCGGGAATTACGAGTATGTCGTGTTCACGTGCTCTGTTGAACATGAAACAGATGTATGAAAGGTTCATCCATGCATATTTATTTTACTTTTATTTTGACAGCATAACACATATTACCGAGTTAGCTAGCTTGCTGACGATAATAGTCAAATACAAGCTATTTTTGCGGTGTAAAAATGTACAACATGTATAGAATGGTTACTGATATAGTACATCAATGAATAAGTCCAGATCGGCAAGCGATAACAATTAGCTGCATTTAGAAAAATGAACAAAACCTGTCATTCAGTACAGAAACTGGACTCTCCTCCGCCATGTTGAAAGTTTAGGACTTCTTCCACCTCGGAAGCTCGGGGATCAAAATAATCTCCGAGTTTCCCAGTCGTAATTACGACTTCGTGCAACTTGCTAGTGGGAAACTTGCATTTACTGTAATTTCAATAGCACGTGAAGGTAGCATAACGTATAAGGACTACATTTACCGGCGGGCGCAGCTGAACGAAAGCACTTCCGGTGTTTAGGCACCAATCAGATAGAACATATTTAAAGCCAATCAAAAAAAAAAGAGAAAAGGGTAGGCTCGTTTTCTTTTTAAAGTTTTCGCAAATTAAAAAAAAAAAAAAAACTATTATGGTCGCATATCGCATAACCGGAATGTCTGGATGAGATTTTGGTATCTCTAAATGTTTAGGTATTTAAATTTTCAAAAAGCATTTTGGTGTCCAAATATATACTTACGACAGGATACTACATGAACCTTTAGGCCCTTAAAAAGTCACTGAAGTGACTATAGAGCCCAAAGCGTATTCATTCACTTCACTGTGAAACTGGTTTGATTACACAATTTACAATTTATTTTTCTGGGTTTTTTTTTTCATAAGTCATTTTGACGCTGGTTGGTGTTGTTTAACGCTTTAAACTCTTTATAAAAGTGATTTTAAAGTCTTATGTGGTAATGAATGAAAGCGATACATCCGGGAGTGGGCGTTTCCTGCTCGTGCTCGCAGTCTGCAAGTTCGCCAATTAGGAGTCAGTGGGCGTGATTTAGTCCAAAGTACTTCCGCTGTTGTAGAATAATGAAAACTATTAATGGACTGCTAGGACTTCAGACGCTGGAATGTTGGGACATTGTCATAATGCTGTTATTGCTTTTGCTTAATTGAAAATAAAATATGAATGTTACTAGTAATATATATATATATATATATATATATATATA